AATGCGTGTCTCCTGCGTCTCTTTCCCAGCAGCACGTGTCTCTTTCAGCAGCACATCTTCCTCAACCAGCAGTCAGAGAGAGTTCTGCCTCTAGGAGGCCTTCTTTTGAGCTTGGCAGAGTGGCCAAACTAGCCAATCATAGCATCAGAACTCTAAGCACCTGAGAGAGAGCCTCCCATAACATTGTGTTGTGCCACGTCCAACAGAAATAACCCAGGTGGATCACATTTACAATCAGGAGCTCCTCAGTTGCTCATTCCACCACTGAGTTTACAATGACTTATGGGTAGAAAAGCCATACTAAGTAATTTACTACACTGCAAGTTGTTTTTAGGATGAATAGGGATTTTTAAGCTTTATGTATACAGACTAAAAATTGAGGCTAAAATAAGATCTTATTTTAGCTCTGTAATTAATAGGACTTCTGGTGCTATCCTTTCTTTATTCAAAGTCAGTTCTCAATATTAAAAATACTTGTACTCTACCATACATTGTTGAGTGAAGAAGACTAGTTGCAGAAAAGCATATATACTGTATAATACTATTTAGGTAAGAAGGAAGAAGTCAAAGCTGCACTGAAGGAATTGGCAAAGAACAAGTCTTCAGGAATTGACAGAATACCCATTGAGATGTTTCAACAAACAGATGCAGCACTGGAGGCACTCACTTGGTTATGCCAAGAGATTTGGAAGGCAGCTGTCTGGCCAACTGACTGGAAACGATCCATATTTGTACCCATTCCAAAGAAAGATGATACCACAGAATGTGAATCATATCAAACAATATCATTAATATCACATGCAAGTAAAATCTTACTGAAGATAATCCAAAAACGGTTGCAGCAGTATATTGACAAAGCTTCCAGAAATGCAAGCTGGATTCAGAAGAGGACGTGGAACAAGGGATATCATTGCTGATGTCAGATGGATCTTAGCTGAAAGCAAAAGATACCAGAAAGATGTTTACTTATGTTTTATTGACTATGCAAAAGCATATGATTGTGTGGATCATAACAAATCATGGATAACACAGAGAAGAATGGGAATTCCAGCACGCTTGATTGTACTAATGAGGAACCTGTACATAGATTAGGAGGCTTTCATTCAAACAGAACAAGGGGATACTGCATGGTTCAAAATCAAGAAGGGAGGGTGTCATGGTTGTATCCTTTTACCATACTTATTCAATCTATATGCTGAGCAAGTAATCCGAGAAGCTGGATTATATGAAAAAGAACATCTGGGTTGGAGGAAGACTCGTTAACAAACTGATACGTAGATGACCCAACTTTGCTTGCTGAAAGTGAGGATAACTTGAAGCAATTACTGTTGAAGATTAAAGACTACAGTCTGCAGTATGGATTACACCTCAACAGAAAGAAAACAAAGATCCTCACAACTGGTCCAATAAACAGCTTCACAGTGGATGGAGGAAAGGTTGAAGTTGTCAAAGACTTCATATTACTTGATTCTACAATTAACACCAACGGAAGCAGCAGTCAAGACATCGGACGACGTATTGCATAGAGCAAATCTGCTGCAAAAGACTTCTTTCAAGTGATAAAGAGCAAAGATGTCTCCTTGAAGACTAAGGTATGCCCAACCCAAACCATGGTATTTTCAGTCACCTCTTATGCATGTGAGAGCTGGACAATGAATAAAGAAAACTGAAGGAGAGTTGATGGTTCTGAGTTGTGGTGTTGGAGAAGAATGCTAAGAGTTCCATGGTCTGCTAAAAGAACTAACAAATCTGTCCTGGAAGAAGTACAGCTGGAATGTTCCTTGGAAGCAAGAATGGCCAGACATTGTCTCACCTACTTTGGTCATATTGTCAGAAGGAACCATTCCCTGGAGAAGTGTATCATGCTTGGTAAAGTGGAGGGTCAACAAAGAAGGGGAAGGCCCTCAATGAGATGGATTGACACAGTGGCTGCAACGATGGGCTCAAGGATCGTGAGGCTGGCACAGGACCGGGCAGTGTTTTGTTCTGCTGTGCATAGGGTTGCTATGAGTTGGAGACGATTCACCGGCACCTAAGAACAACAACAACAACATTTAGGTAAATGAACAAAAATATAACAAAAGCAAACCAATATTCTGATACATAGAACGTACTCAGTGGCTATTGAATATGCATATTTGTTTGCATATAAACGGATCTGAAGATCTATAACCCAGAGTGTTTAAAGGGAAGGAGTATACAACCTGAGGTGTGTTTTTATGCTATATACTTCTGTGTTTGAATTTTTTACAATGCACATGTTATTTTTTAATTAAAAAAGTAGAAGAAAAAATTCCTTTAAAACCTAAGGATAGTATCTCCTTCCCAAATAAATCCCTGTATCCACTGCTTCTTTCTATATACCTTACAGTTCATACCAAACATATACTATATGCTTAATTTAAATCTATTTAAGAAATATATTCTGACTCTATAGAAGAAGTATTACTTCTCTAATAATTCAGTAATGCTCCAGTAGTTCTTCAAAGAGAAAAACATTGGTCAAACCTATTTGTTTGATGACATTTCCATGTAATCTAAGTTTTTTCATTGAATTTTTTCCTATGAAAATTTTTAACCATTCGAAAATAGAATTATACTTATATCCCAGCTTCAATACCAATCAACATATGGACAATCTTGTCTCATTTTAACTTCCTTTAACACCTCCCTGTGGTTGTTGTTAGGTGCCATCAAGTCAGTTTCGACTCACAGCAACCACACGTACAACAGAATGAAACACCACCCAGTCCTGCACCATCCGCACAATCATTGCTATGCTTGAGCCCATTGTTGCAGCCACTGTATCAGTCCGTCGCATTAAGCGTCTTGCTCTTTCATGCTGACCATCTATACGAAGCATAATGTCCTTCTCCAGGGACTACTCCCTCCCGATAACATTTCCAAAGTATGAGAGGTGAGGTCTTGCCTTCCTCACTTCAAGAAGCAGTCCAGCTGTACTTCCTCCAAGGCAGATTTGTTCATTCTTCTAGCAGTCCATGGTACATTCAGTGTTCTTCACCAACAGCACAATTCAAGTGCATCAGTTCTTCTGCAGTCTTCCTTATTCATTGGTCACCTTTCACATGCATATGAGGCTATTAAAAAGACCATCGCTTGGGTGAGGTGTCTTCAAAGTGACATCTTTGCACCTTAACACTTAAAAAGGTCTTTTGCAGCAGATTTGCCCAGTGCAGTATAAAGTCTGATTTCTTGACTGCTGCTTCCATGGGCATTGATTGTGAATCTAAGTAAAAGGAAATCCTTGATAATTTCAGTATTTTCTCCATTTATCATGATTTTGCTTATTGGTCCAGTGGTGAAGATTTTTGTTTTCTTTGTGGTGAGGTGTAATCCATACTGAAGACTTTGATCTTCATCAGTTAAGTGCTTCAAGTCGTCTTCACTTTCAACAACCAATGTTGAGTCATTTGCATATCTGCACATTGCAAGTTCTTAATGAGCGTTTCTCCAATCCTGATGCCACGTTCTTTTTCATACAGTCTTGCTTCTCAGATTATCTGCATACAGATTGAATAAGTATAGTGAAAAGATACAGTCCTGACACATACCTTTCCTGATTTTAAACCACATAGTATTCCCTTGTTCTGTTTGAATGACTTCCTCTTGGTCTATGTATGGGATCCTCATGAGCACAATTAAGTGTTCTGGAATTCCCATTCTTTGTAATGTCATCCATAATTTGTTAGGATCCACATAGTCAAATACCTTTGCATAATCAATAAAACACAGGTAAACACCTTTCTGGTATTCTTTGCTTTCAGTCAAGATCCATCTGATATCAGCAATGATACCCCTTATTCCACATCTTCTTGTTCTGGCTTGAATTTCTGGCAGTACCCTATAAATGTACTGCTACAACCATTTTTGTTTTCAGCAAAATTTTACTTGCATGTGATATTAATGATACTGTTTGATAATTTTTGCATTCTGTTGGATCACTTTCTTTGGAATGGGCACAGGTGTGGATGGATCTCTTCTAGTCAGCCAGATAGCTGTCTTCCAGATTTCTTGTCACCAGTGAGTCAGTGCTTCCAGCATCACATCTGTTTGTTTAAACATCTCAGTGGGTATTCATTCTTTCAATTTCTGGAGCTTTTTTTTTTTTTTTTTGTTACCAATTCTTTCACTGCAGCTTGGACTTCTTCCTTCAATCCCATCAGTTCCTGATTATATATGCTTTTAAAATGGCTGAATATCAACCAGTTCTTTTTGGTACAGTGACTGTGTATTCCTTCCATTTAATTTTGATGCTTCCTGCATACTTCAATATTCTATGGAGAATCAATATTCAATATTCAATATTCTATGGAGAATCCTTGAGTCTTGCAATTCAAGGCTTATATTTTTTATTCAGTTTTTTCAGCTTGAGAAATGCTGAGTGTTCTTCTTCCCTTTCGATTTTTAAACTCCCAATACCCACCCAATTGGATTACTTTGAAGCAAATCTCAGATGTATAATCCCATCTATAAAGACTACAATATCTTAAAGACAAAGGCCTTTTCTAAAACACAATGAAAATATGCTCATCACAGTTAAAAAATGAACAATGATTCATAATGGCAATCATCTAAGAGATTTTTAATAACAATCTAGTTATTAATTTATAAGTTACATTTTTATTTACTTTGTTTTGTATCTTTCAAATACTTTTGAACTAATAACTTTTCCTTTCAAATTTAGTATACATTTTCCCCCCTAGAGTTATAATAAACCAAAATGATGGTTTTTGCTTATATTTCTTAATCACTAACTAAAATTAATATGAGAAGCCTGAACAAATGGCTGGGTGTTTTCATCCTCAAATTTAAAAAAATGATTGAGGTATTTATCACTATGTCTAACATTAGAATGGAAAGCTATTCATACCTTGATGGTAATAACAGAGTCACACAAGTCACAAATCATGATGAATTTTTTTTCACATACTTTTCTGCTATTTTGTCTGACTTTAATTATTAATTTTTGTTTTACATAGGTCTCTGATTAATAGAAGATGGCAAAGCCAAGCCACAGCAGCTACGTCCTTCAGCAGCTAAACAACCAAAGAGAATGGGGTTTTCTCTGTGACTGTTGTATTGCAATTGATGACATTTACTTTCAAGCACACAAAGCAGTTCTAGCTGCCTGTAGCTCCTATTTTAGGATGTTTTTCATGAACCATCAGCATAGTACTGCACAGCTGAATCTCAGCAACATGAAAATTAGTGCCGAGTGCTTTGATCTCATTTTGCAATTTATGTATTTAGGGAAAATAATGACAGCTCCCTCTAGTTTTGAGCAGTTTAAAGTGGCAATGAACTACCTACAGCTGTACAATGTTCCTGACTGCTTAGAAGACATACAGGATGCAGATTGTTCTAGTTCAAAATGTTCATCTTCTGCCTCCAGCAAACAGAACAGCAAAATGATATTTGGGGTGAGAATGTATGAAGACACTGCAACAAGAAATGGCAATGAAGCCAACAGGTGGTGTGCAGAGCCAAGTTCAACAGTAAATACACCACATAATAGAGAGCCTGATGAAGAGTCTTTACAATTAGGTAATTTTGCTGAACCACTATTTGATGTATGTAAAAAAAACTCTGTGTCCAAGTTATCTACTCCAAAAGAACGTGTGTCACGGCGCTTTGGCCGGAGCTTTACCTGCGACAGCTGTGGATTTGGCTTTAGCTGTGAAAAATTATTAGACGAACATGTGCTAACCTGTACTAACCGACATTCATACCAAAACACACGATCTTACCACCGAATAGTAGATATTAGAGATGGAAAAGACAGTAACATCAAAGCAGAATTTGGTGAGAAGGATTCTTCTAAAACATTTCCTGCACAGACAGACAAGTACAGAGGAGACACAAGCCAGGCTGCTGCTGATGATTCGACATCAACCACTGGAAGCAGGAAAAGCAGCACAGTGGAGTCTGAAATGGCCAGTGAGGAAAAAAGTCGAGCTGCTGAGAGAAAAAGAATCATCATCAAGATGGAGCCAGAAGATATTCCTACGGATGAACTGAAAGACTTTAACATTATTAAGGTTACGGATAAAGACTGTAATGAATCCACTGACAATGATGAATTAGAAGATGAACCTGAAGAGCCATTTTATAGATACTATGTTGAAGAAGATGTCAGTATTAAAAAAAGTGGTAGGAAAACTCTCAAACCTCGGATGTCAATAAATGCTGATGAAAGAGGTGGTTTAGAAAACATGCGGCCCCCTAACAATAGCAGTCCGATACAAGAGGACAGCGAAAATGCGTCCTGTGAGCTGTGTGGCCTCACCATAACTGAGGAGGACCTGTCATCCCATTACTTAGCCAAACACATTGAAAATATCTGTGCATGTGGTAAATGTGGACAGATACTAGTCAAGGGTAGACAACTTCAGGAACATGCTCAGAGATGTGGAGAACCCCAAGATCTGACGATGAATGGGTTAGGAAACACTGAGGAGAAAATGGACATGGAAGAGAATCCCGATGAGCAGTCGGAAATAAGAGATATGTTTGTAGAAATGTTGGATGACTTTAGGGACAATCATTTCCAGATAAACAGTATCCAAAAAAAGCAGCTGTTCAAACATTCTGCCTGTCCCTTTCGATGTCCTAATTGTGGCCAGCGTTTTGAGACTGAAAATCTAGTGGTTGAACATATGTCCACCTGCCTAGACCAAGATGTGTTTAAGAGTGCCATCATGGAGGAAAATGAGAGAGATCACAGACGAAAGCATTTTTGTAATCTCTGTGGAAAAGGATTTTATCAGCGGTGTCACCTAAGAGAACACTATACTGTTCATACTAAGGAAAAACAGTTTGTCTGTCAGACATGTGGGAAGCAGTTTTTAAGAGAACGTCAGTTGCGACTGCACAATGATATGCACAAAGGCATGGCCAGGTATGTCTGTTCCATTTGTGATCAAGGAAACTTCAGAAAACATGATCATGTACGGCATATGATTTCTCATTTATCTGCTGGTGAGACTATATGCCAGGTCTGCTTTCAGATATTCCCAAATAATGAACAGTTGGAGCAGCACATGGATGTTCATCTGTATACATGTGGAATATGTGGAGCAAAGTTTAATTTGAGGAAAGATATGAGATCACATTATAATGCCAAGCATTTGAAAAGACCATAAGTGATTTTGTGATTTTTCTACTGTACTAATGGTTAGTTGATAGCAGACAGAACACCAAAGCAAAGGATATGAGCTATTTAGAAATTGATTTTATAATATAAATCATTGGGAAAAAAATATCAAGGCCCTTTTCCTTTAATATTTTCATTTAGGATCTTAAGTATCTACATTTTAGGAGTTATGAAATGTTTATTTTTGTTTCTTAATAGAATTCTTTGTTTTTAGTTTGTCTTAGCTATGATTAAAATTACTTTTAAATGTAGACTACAAGTGGTTTTTTACCCCTTCAGTGACTTTTAAACTTTAGTTTTTTTATTAATAAGGTGATGACTTCACTATTTCTTTTTTTTAAAGTTATCTTCTGAAATTTTAAACCCAATATTAGTGGGCATTCCTGTTTAAATTAAAAGAAATTTTTAAAATAGTTATTTGATATTATCTCATTCACTTTTAATTGTTTTTTCCAGTTCAACAGTGATTTGGCCACTTTTTATTCCTCTTATTATCAATGAAATTCAGATTCTTAAATTGATAGGCCTACTAGGCAGGTTAGGTGCATTGAATCTAACCTTGAAGACTGACATGGGCCCAAACTTGGCCTAAAAAGATTGATGGACCTGAGGAAATTTCTATAAATAAATATTTCCTATAATTGATAAAATATTATCATTTAATAATCACATTTAAAACTTATATTAAGTGTAAAACCCAATGACTTTACCTCACTTGAGAAACTAGTGAGGATAAGCCATTTTGTTTTGTGATATTAAATTTAACTATGATAGTTAATTAAAAAGACATATCTTGTATTCATTTAAAATATTTTAATTTAAAATATTCTGATTTCTAAAGTGTGTTAGTTTATCAATTATTCTTGTTTATAAACAGACTTTAATATCTCTAGAAATATGACATCTAAAGGGAAATGATTTTTTCATCTTTAAAATTACATACTTTTGGAACCTACTTTGAGATTTGAGAAAGTTGCCATGTATACTGATAAATCTAATAAAATAAAGAAATCAATTATAAATCTGGTGGTTCTATAAAAGTAGAGTGCGCAAAAAAGTTTCTTGTGTTTTATACTTTCTAAAATTTGGGGAAAAAATGTTGTAGCAAATTAGTTTATCATGCCTTTTTTTTTCCTTCCTGTAAAGGACTATAAAATTTGAGGAATATAAAATAACCACAGAGAATATAAATGGAATCAGCTTATCATTTTTTAGTTAAAGTAGTGTTACTGTTAATTGTTGCTAACACAAGGGTCTATAAGAATTACATGTGAATTAAAACACTGGCAAAATTTCTGGCCCACCATTAAGCACATCTATTGAATACAGTGCCTTTTACTGTGAATATAATTACTTACAGTGTAATACTCATTTCACAATGTAAGAGATTTTAAATAACATCTATATTTAAAAATATAATGTTGTGATTGGGAACAGTAATTTAACAGCATTGCTCTTTTGGTTTACATCGTATTTTTAAGATGTGCAAGTATATTTTTGTATACAATTTACATAAAAGAACAAGTTGCCAAGAGAATTGAGAGACATATCAACTAGTACAGATTTAGTTGAAAGATGTATTAGAGCCCAGTGTGGACTTGGGGATTTGTGGAGATAAGTAAGGAGAGGAATACCAAAAGATACAGTGCAGAATTAAAATAATGGGAAGCAGAGGGAGGAGGAAATACACAAAAAGATGAATGAGAAGTCAGGAAGCAGGAATTTTTCAAAAAGCCACAGTTAACAGAGAAAGCAGGAAAAGTGATTCCTCTTAGTCTTAGAAACAATGGTTTATCAAGTAATTAAATCTGAAAAACAGATTACAACGAGATATGGGCTACACATTACTGCTGTGGTCCCTTCAGTGGTGTAGACAGTTAAGCGTTCTGTGTAAGCTGAAAGGTTGACCCCACCCAGAGGTGCCTGAGAAGCCAGGCCTGGCAATCTGTTTCCAAAAGGTCACAGGCTTGAAAATGCTGTTGGAGCAGTCTGCTCTGCACACATGGGATCACCAGGAGGTGGAATCCACTTGAGGGCAACTAACAACATTACTGATAGGCACCTGATAAACACAAGTCCTGTCACAAACCATCAAAGAATAATGTAAAGAGATACGATCAATTAAACCAAATTCCCAAACTATGTACAGTAAAACCTGGGAAAGCTGGGGCTCGGGTAAGGTGGAAACCTGTCAGAGAAGGACAACTCAAATATTTTCCACTAACGTAGCATAGAGAAGTAGTAAGACTGAACCCTGTCAAAGCCAGAAAACTTGTGAGACCCAGAAAAGCAAGCCAGTCCAGTCAATTCTGGCTCTAACAGGTTTTACTGTATATAATACCATTGGATATGATTGTCTTTAGGATAACTTTATCCATTGACTTTCATCAAATCTGTTGTAATGGCCTTCCCACCACTAAATAATGGGGCTCTTTTTAAATACTACCACCCTAAAAAGGATGATCTATTCCATTAGGTAGGAGCTCTGGTAGCATAGTGCCTAAGGCACTTGACTGCTAACCAGAAGGCTGGCGGTTCAAACCCACCAGCCACTCCTCGGAAGGAAGG